TCACCCAGCAACAGTGGCATGATCAGATTGGTAATAGTTCAAAATTATGCACTTATTCTAAATTAAAAAAACTATTAGTCGGGGAAAAATATCTGGATTCTATTACTATAAGTGTTTTTAGAAAATCTCTCGCTTGTTTTAGAATATCTGCTCATGAGCTCATGATTGAAAAGGGTAGGGCATTGGGAATACCACTTGACCAAAGATTGTGTCCTCTTGGTTGTAATCTCATTGAAAACGAGTTCCACTTTCTATTACAATGCCCCAAATTTGAGAAAATTAGAACTCGTTTTATACACAAGTTTTACTATTGCCCAGCGCTTGAATGGAAATTTATTTTGCTACTGCAATCTGAAAATACACATACAATACAAAATCTTGCAAAATACGTATTCTACTTTTTACAAAAACGTCATAGTTTGTTGGAGGGAAATTTAACTGAAATATAAATTTAATTTGGTATTCATAGGTGAAGTATAAATTTGTAATATTCAGACAAGCAGTAGCAGTGATTATTCTTGTCAAACGATCTATTTATTTATTTGTGTTACATTTAAGTGTGTACATTATGGCCTATGGCCAATGGTACTGAATAAATATATATATATATATAATCAGAATCTGTAGTACACACATGGTAATTTAGTTTAATTTTCTTTCACCCAATTATACCTTAAAAGAAGATATTTGTGTGTCCTAAAGTTATGACTTCAACTAGAGTTGACCAGTGAACTATGCATTCCAAACAGCTATCATTGCTGGATTCAAGAAATTGACAGTGATAATTATCACCAACATTAAAAAACAAGAATTTAATTTACCTGGCAGTTCTTGGAGAATACGGCTCATCAGGAGGCGGTGGAATGAATAATTGTTCTAAAGGTGATTTTAATCGTTTTTCATTACTACTTTGTCGTCTTCTTCCCGGAGCAGTATGAGAATGTTTCTTTTTAACATTGGCAGTGGATGAATTAAGTACTGATCTTTTGACAATAATCTGGCCCTGTAGCGACACATTTTTAGGACGTTTTTTCAAGGTCAGGGTGACCTCATTCGGGTCTTCCTTCATTGCTTCTACTACTTTACTGAGTTGCCAACCAACCTGGAAAATTTAACAAAAATACGAAATTAATTCATTTACACCATCTATCTCCCTGCCTGTCACTTCATCCAACCATCCATACATCCACCAACCCACCCAAATATCCATTATCAAAACATACATGTACCCATCCACCTATTCCTTATAAAAACATCCACCCACTATTCATCTACCATCCTCCATCCATTCATTCACTGTCCATCTTTGTGGTTACTCTGTTTTTGTGTGTGTGTGTTTGGGTCTGTTCCAATTATAAAATAATTTCAGATTTCCAAAGGGTATCTCAATAGCCATCTAACAAATTTAAATAAATGAATCCATACATATTTATATACGTAGTTTGCATATAATTAACCATATCTTGGCTGTTCGAGTGATATCTTAATAATCACTTAACAGATCTAACTGGAACTTGGTAATACATCATCATGAATACTCACATAGATGACTATACTAATTTACATATTAAATAAGATATTTTTAGCCGTATCACAGGCATCTCTCATCAGATTTCAATGAAACTTAGTACTTAGATGCTTTTGAGTAATCTACATCCATGACTATATAATTTTTATTCCTTATTATATTAAACCATAATGCTTTTACCATAATGGTAAAACATGAGGAATTATCAATATTGGTTCTAACTTAGCTTCAAAAATTGACAACCTCTAAATACATTGATTATTTACGTGGCCACCGTACTTCTTCCTCTTTTTCACTGTCTACAACACAAGAAGCTCCTACATGTATGCTAGTAAAAAATATAAATCTCATAAATTATTCACATGATAGATCTCAGTTTCTATATTCAAATGGCATATCATTTCATTGCTTATCTACATGTATATCATGTGGTGTATCCTATGGTGCTGTCCTTGGTTCAACTTTGTTTTTGCTGTATATTAACGATTTACCAAATTCTATTGACTTTTTTGAATTATGGTTATTCACCGATATCCACCAGGGGCTTGTATTATTTATCAAATATTCACATTAATGATGTTGTCACATGATGTCAGACAAAAAAAACTATTAAACCATAAATTTTTAAATCCTTATTGTGTCTATCAATGACTGGATCCATCAAAACTCGTACCATAAATGAGATTGAATCTGCTACATTAGGTGGAATTTAAATCGATAAACACCTGACTTGAAGAAATTTCATCACAAAAATGAATTCATTGATCACAACAAAAAAATGACATACTATTGAAATTAAGACACTTAATTCCCAGAATTCAGTACTTATTGATGAGGGTACTGGGAAGAAAATCATTTATTATGCTGTTTCTTTTTATGGTATCAAAACTAATTACTAGGCATGACAATTCTTGATGCATCGCCCAGTGCTATATATGGTATATTGCAAGCTGTGTCATGTTCAGTCATTTAATGCATACACAGTCTAGTGGGTCATGGTGGTGCTCCTTGACAACCATTCATTTGGTTAAGAGGTATTAAATTTTCTGTTTGTTTTTTTTGCATTATAATCACATTATTAAAACATCTTGTTTATCAGATATTATCATCAAAAGATAGAAAATTTCACAACATGAAATGTACAATGTAGATTTTTGCAGTTATGGTGATAAGTGCCATTCTTCTTTCTTGAAAAATCATATGTTCAACACTGCATCAAATGCATTGAAAAGGTGAAGGTAGGCTTGCGTGACTAATCTCCTGTATAAATATTTGCGTGACTAGACCCCTGTATAATACTGGAGCAGTATGGGATTGTTTTTTAAGTTTCAAGACCAGCAATATAGTAATATTTTGACCTCAGAATAAACATTACTTTCAATATTAATGCAATGGGCAATGCAAATTATATTAAACGGTACAGATATGAATGGTATAGCTATTCAGTTGCACAAACCTTAGAAGTATTATAATTATTTCGGCCTCAGTGGTACACCTGTGCACACCTTTAAGTGTGTAACATCCAACTCAGTTCTTTGTAAGATGACCCCACCAAAAATTGAATCAGGAGCCTGTACGTTCTGTAAGGGGCCTGACGAAAATCTGCTTCATCTTTTCTATGAATGTCCAGTCGTAAAATTATTTTGGGATACCTTCTTTGAGATATGGGGGACAAAATTGAGTTTCCCTCGGGTAAACGACCCAGAATGCTTTTTGTTTGGTGATAGCCTTCTTCTCCTGTTAAACTTTTTGTTTTTGGTTGCCAGGAGGTTTATTTATATTTGCAGATGTCGGGGTAAAAAACCAAAATTTGAGGAATTTAAAGACTGCAGAATGTACAGAAAACTAGGTACTTTATTGCAAACAGAAAAGGTAAACTGGGAAAACATTAAAAAAATGGGGAAAATTTATGAAAATTGTAGCAACGACCTAGCATATCAACATGACTACCTGAAAAATTTTACTATTTTTGTGGAGACTTTGTACTTGTTTGTTGTGCAATGTAATTTTATGGTACACATACATGTAACTATGTAGAGTGTTTATGTAAATTGACTCAATAAAAAATGTAACATTGTGTCACAAATGTTGCCAGTGTCAGAAATTATCACCGCTACACTTCAAAAAGGGATTTATTTTTACCTAATCTTTTATTTATATTCATATCAGATGGCTGCATAGAAATGCAACATTGGTTTCACATACATGATTTTATGATAGGACAAACAGTGTATTTGTAACGAAAGCGAGGCTGGGATTTTAGAAATGTTTGCAAATTGAGTCTGAATTTCATCAAACTACCATTTCACAACATTTTTTTCACACATTGAGATGCACATTTACCTACCAACCTACACATCTGTTTAACCACCCATCCATTTACAGACCTAAAAATAAACCCATACCCCATCCATATACCCATCCAAAGAACCTAATGAACGACCCACATCATTCATCCATCCATCCATCCATCCATGGACCTAAACACCAACCCATACTCCATCTATCAAAGGACCTACCAACCAACCCACCCACACACATTCAACCACCATCCTCAGACCTACCCACCAACCCTCACACACATCTCCATCCACAGAGCTACCCAACAACCGACCAACCAACCTACACAGACATAACACCCAACCCACACCCAGTCCATTCACAGACCTACCCACCCACACTCACCCCATCCATTCAGACCTATTCACCTACACATATGCATATCCATCCAGACATATTCAGACATATCCACCAACCCACACCCAGTCCATTCACAGACCTACCTACCCACACTCACCCCATCCATTCAGACCTATTCACCTACACATATGCATATCCATCCAGACATATTCAGACATATCCACCAACCCACACCCAGTCCATTCACAGACCTACCTACCCACATGCACTCACCCCATCCATTCAGACCTATTCACCTACACATATGCATATCCATCCAGACATATTCAGACATATCCACCAACCCACACCCAGTCCATTCACAGACCAATTCACCAACCCACACCCAGTCCATTCACAGACCTACCTACCCACACTCACCCCATCCATTCAGACCTATTCACCTACACATATGCATATCCATCCAGACATATTCAGACATATCCACCAACCCACACCCAGTCCATTCACAGACCTACCTACCCACATGCACTCACCCCATCCATTCAGACCTATTCACCTACACATATGCATATCCATCCAGACATATTCAGACATATCCACCAACCCACACCCAGTCCATTCACAGACCTACCTACCCACATGCACTCACCCCATCCATTCAGACCTATTCACCTACACATATGCATATCCATCCAGACATATTCAGACATATCCACCAACCCACACTCAGTCCATTCACAGACCAATTCACCAACCCACACCCAGTCCATTCACAGACCAACTCATCAACCCACACTCAGTCCATTCACAGACCAACTCATCAACTCACACCCAGTCCATTCACAGACCAACTCATCAACCCACACTCAGTCCATTCACAGACCAACTCATCAACCCACACCCAGTCCATTCACAGACCAACTCATCAACTCACACCCAGTCCATTCACAGACCAACTGCAGGGTTCTCCCCAGAAAAAATGCATAGCGCCGGGGCTAATTTGCATATCATTTACATATCTTTCCTTCATTGATTAACAGAACTTATTTACAATTATGAATATTAGTGAGCTCAGTCACAGGGCAAATATTTTTTTTAATGGAATCAACACATTATGTTTCACAATTTAGAAGAGTTTGAAACATTCTCGAAATACAAATGCTGCAGACTAAAAACAAACACAAATACATTATTGTTGCAATTTAATTGTTTTGTAAAACGTTGAAGGAAACGCATTCAAAACGTTAAGCCAGACTTATGTTCACGAATCTCATAATTTTATTCACTCCAAAAACATTCTCCTTCAAAAAATCGATCACGTAATTAATTGACGTATTGTTGTAATTTATTATTCGTACCATCAACTTCTAAAACGTTTACAATTACAGTAATGAGCGAACAAATAAAGCTTCAAAACGATCATCAAAGTTACGACGTGACATAACTTATAACTTACTTGGCCATGTTATACACCAGTTATAGCAATAATTCCTCAACAAATTTTACTTCTTTTTTTTTTTTTTGATATGAAATGTAAGTAAAATCCGACTTATTTTTATCGGGAGCGATTATTTTTGATCACTTGATCGCTTCGGTAAAAAAACAGACCCGCCATGTTTGTGAACATTAGCATGTGTCCTTTGACCCGATGGGTCAAGAATTCCATTACCAATCAAATGCCGCATG